AATAAACTGTACTTCTGATTATGGAGTGAGTCTAATCAGAATTAAGATAAGAATGAGATAAAGGGGAAAGGGGCCCGGTGCGGTGGCTCACACCTGTAACCCCAGCACTTTGGGAGGCTGAAGTGGGTGAATCTCTTGAGCCCAAGAGTTTGAGACCAGCCTGGGCAACATGGCGAAACCCCATCTCTACAAAAAAATACAAAAATTAGCCAGGCATGATGGTGTGCACCTGTAATCCCAGCCTCTCAGAAGGCTGAGGTGGGAGAATCACCTGAGCCTGGGAAGTCGAAGGTGCATTGAGCTGTGATTGTGCCATTGAACTCCAGCCTGGGCAATGGGAATGTGACCCTGTCTCAAAAAATATAATAAAAAAGAATATGATAAAGATACTTATAAAATAATTGTGTTTTGGTGCTTTTAAGTGATTTATACTTTGTTTCTACCCTTAGTGAGAAAATTGTAGTTTAATGTATATACCCAAAGATTTTGTATTTTTCACCAAAATTTTACGGGGTAGAATATACTAGATGAAAAACTCAAGAAATATGTTATCAGGATTAAAATTATCTTAGCTGCTCAAGAGTCATAATCACGTATAATATGACGATGTTATTTTGAACTTCATTTCCAGATCATAGCAATGGATCATTTAACTTGAAAGCTCTGTCAGGAAGCTCTGGATATAAGTTTGGCGTTCTTGCTAAGATTGTGAATTACATGAAGGTAAGTACTTTTCTCAAATAAAAGTCCTATTTAACTTTTTGGCAAAAGAAGGGGATTAGGATTTTCAGAAGTTAAATTTCTGTATACACCAAAATTTATGAAAATTGTGCATTTTCAATATGTGCGTTTTATTGTATGCCAATTATACCATATATTAATTTGGCATTGTGGCAAGTTACCAAGGTATATTTAATCTGCATTAACTCAAGGGTACAATTTAAGCTCACCATTTCACTTAGTAAGAGTGTACCTAGGCAGTAGATACATCACCTCTTAATGAATACCGTCTGGCAAAACCAATGGGAGAATGTGATTGATTTTTCAGGATATTGCTTCCATTGATGTGAGAAGTAAGAAGTACATAGTTCGGGCAGATGGTGTGATGGCTTCTCTGTATCTTGGAGGAGAAAATTAAGTCTTAGAAAAACATTGACCCACAAAAGAATTAGAATTTAATGTTTTGGTAGAAGATTTAGTATTTTTTGAATACTAAGTTTTGATCATGTAAGATTTTGGCTTTACTTTCAATCTTTTTTTTTTTTTTTTTTGAGACAGTCTTGCTCCATTACCCAGGCTGGAGTGCAGTGGCATGATCATCGCTCACTGCAGCCTTGAACTCCTGTTGTCAAGTGATCCTCCTGACTCAGCCTCCCGAGTAACTGGGACTACAGGCATGCACCACCATGCCTGGCTAATTTTCTTATTTTTAGAAGAGACGAAGTCTCACTGTGTTGCCCAGGCTGGTCTCGAACTCCTAAGCTCATGTGATTTTCCCACCTCAGCCTCCCAAAGTGTTTGGCTTACAGGCATAAGCCACTATGCCCAACCAAAACTTTGAATCTTTTTTTTTTTTTTTTTTGAGACAGAGTCTCGCTCTGTCGCCCAGGCTGGAGTGCAGTGGCCGGATCTCAGCTCACTGCAAGCTCCACCTCCCGGGTTTACGCCATTCTCCTGCCTCAGCCTCCCGAGTAGCTGGGACTACAGGCGCCCGCCACCTCGCCCGGCTAGTTTTTGTTTTTTTTAGTAGAGACGGGGTTTCACTGTGTTAGCCAGGATGGTCTCGATCTCCTGACCTTGTGATCCACCCGTCTCGGCCTCCCAAAGTGCTGGGATTACAGGCTTGAGCCGTCGCACCTGGCCAGACCAAAACTTTGAATCTTAACTAAATTTATTAAAGCGGGATTTCATTTTTAGCTAAGATGTAATTTCAAATTTGCTCCCTTCTTCTGCCAGACTCTTAGTCACAATTAGTTACTAGTTGCATCTCTTGAAAAAGTCAGACAGTACTATATTTGTTATTTTAATTTCATCCATCTGTTGGTTAAAATATATATCAGATTTTTAACTGTGCTAAGGCTTTTCTTTTGTAATTTAATAGACTTGGTGTCTAGCTGAGTCTAAATTCTGTGGCTTGTATTTGAGTTATAGTATAAATATGTTAGTTTATAACTCCCCATTATTAAATAATATATTTTGACACTTAAGTATTCACCATTCATTCATTTCATCCATTTATTCCCCCACATGGTAAGCAGTTATGAAAATCTATTTGCTATTTAGGGCACTAATGGTGGGAATACCCAGAAAAGAATGCACACCCTCAGGGCTGTCATTCTGTTGAGGGAGACTGACATTTAAGTGCCATGTTTTTGTTACTCTGTTAATATGGTCTTCACTTCCCTATGTGGCTTACTTATAACTTCGTCTGTCTTAGAAAGTGAACTTCAGAATTTTTGCACGTGTTCCCTACAATTTGAAAAACTGTGTACCCCTTTGTACATATTTGAGATGATAACTACGCTATATTAGCGAAGTTTAAATAGTGGCACTATTCAAGCAAAAATTTAAATGATGACCAGAAATATGGAATTTCTGGCATATTGTAGTATTTCAATAAAATGCATCACTTTTAAATTTAATAGAATCTAAATGTCATTATTTAAAAGTATAAAAACAAACTCCCTTAGTGATTGGGAATTTTAATTATTTTTTCTTTGAATATTTATGTCCCGTCTGTTATCCCTTTGAATTTTATCCAAATGTTACGTATTTTTATCTTTAAAATCATTTATTGATCATCTATCAAACTGTTCTGCCACAATAATATGTAAATAAATTGAAATTTAAAATGTTTTTCCTATGACCATAAAGCTCTAAGTGTTAAAAAAAACTTACGGTTTGAATTACTTTTCCAATTATTATTGGTGCACAGTTGATTAGAATAACATACATAGATTAAAATTTTGATTAAATTCCCTTTGTATCAGAAATTTATTCTTGAATGAAATGAATGCAACTGTCTCCTCTCTTCCTCCATTAGTTCTTGTGTTTGGCAAATCTCTTCCTGTTTTGAGATTTTATAGATTTTAAGTGCTTAGACATAAATGTTCAAATATATAAGTTAATTCTAATGGAAATTTTGTGGTATCAAAATCTTCCAAGTTATATGTCAAAAATCACTAGTGATTTTATCATCAAGCATCCATCAGTTAATACTTCTGTTAGGTTCTTCTTCAGTTTTATTGAAAGCAAAAGAATGGAAACTACCCAACTTGCCAAAGGATTTGTTACCTGGTGCTTAACCATTTATTTTCTTAGCTTCTGGGAAGCATATCAAAAAGGCTTTCACAAGGCTTACTAAATGTCTTATATCAGTTCCCCTCCCTCTCTTCATAGGTACTTTCTTTAAAAATCTGATATATTCAGAAGCAGTTGAGAAAATAGAAATACTATTAATTTTAATATAGCTTTGCTAATTTTTTTATTACAATTATGTGTTTAAAATGTATTTTTGTGAAAACCTTTAGGATGAAGGTTTAGCTTGTTCAGTTTTTAGAAAATATTTCCTTGTTAACAAAGCCAGTCTCCATTGTCAAACCAACTAACCATAACAAACTTGCTTTGAATCATAAAATTTTCCTCTGTTTTAAATTTCAAATAAACAGATTACCAGATATTTTGGATAATATGAAAACCACTGAGGAATAAATTATAGAATGTATACTGAAAGATACTACTAAGGTATTTGAGATGAAAATTATGTGGCTCAAAAAGAATTACAGTAATTTGTCAATTTTTATAATTTAACATTTCTGTGCTGCTTGTCACATTAGATTAAAAATTAAATAAGTTAAAATATGAAGCAAGGGATATGAGAAAAGTTGTGTTATTTATTTATTTATTTTTGAGACAGGGTCTTACTCTGTCACCTAGGCTAGAGTGCATTGGCACCATCCTGGCTCACTGCAGCCTCGATCTGCTAGCCTCAAGTGATCCTCCCACCTTAACCTCCCAAGTAACTGGGACTACAGGCACATACCACCATGCCTGGCTAGTTTTTGTATTTTTTTTTTTTTGTAGAGACAGGGTCTCACAGTGTTGCCCAGGTTGGTCTTCAACTCCTGGGCTCAGGGGATCCCTCAAGTGATCCGCCTGTCTAAGCCTCCTAAAGTGCTGGGATTACAGGCGTGAGCCACTAGACCTGGCCTGTTACTCCCTTTTAAATGTGTGTTCCTGCATCTTCTGATCTCTGATTTCAGCTATTAGGTATAAATAAAAGGGAATGAATCAGAAATAACTTTACATTTTTATTTGGGTAATTAATGAAAGAGATACCTACTGCTTAAAACTACTCAGTTTGACAGCATATCTTTTTGTCAGTAGGAGGTAGAAATATTAAACTGTTGAAAAACTATAGAATTGACTAATTAGAATAAAACTTTAATGATATGATCTGACAACATAGATTTTAACTACCGTATTGAGTAATGCACACTCAATCTAAAGTAATTTCTATATAGTTTTTATCTGTGACTTTTATATAGCACAATTTGAATGACTTGGCAGTCCCAGAAAGTATTTCTGTTGTATTTAAAGGAATCAGCCTCCCTAATTGATATTGTTCCAGCTCTCTAAATATGCTTTTTCTTCAAGCTAATAAATATTCAAGGAATGAGTTTTGAGAATTACTTATATTTAAACTCTCGGCCCAGCACAGTGGCTCACACCTGTATTGTCAGCACTGTATTGTCAGCTCACACCTGTATTTGTCAGGCTGAGGCAGGTGGATCACTTGAGGCCAGGAGTTTGAGACCAGCCTGGCCAACATGGTAAAACCCCGTCTCTACTAAAAAATACAAAAAAAAATTAGCCAGGTGTGTTGGTACATGCCTGTGATCCCAGCTACTTGAGAGGCTGAGAATCACATGAGTCTGGGAGGTGGAAATTGCAGTGAGCCAAGGTCGCACCACGGTACTCCAGCCTGGGTGACACATCAAGACCTTGTCGCTCATAAAAAATAAGAATTCTTGAAAAAATATTTCTTTTTATCTATTTTTTTTTTTAACCAGTGTTCTCTTTGCGTTGCTTTTATCGTACTCCCTCCCTAACAGCAATGTGTTCTTGGACAATACTGAGTGGAGGTGGGACTGTCGGGGGAATGGTTGTTAAAGGAAACTTTAAACAACTGCTCACAGATTATGGTATGTTAGAATGTTCCAGCAGGGGCCAAAATATTTTAAACTCTTTGAAAAATATGTGACTGGAAAAGACAAGAAGCCCAGTAATGGATAGTTTATGGCACCTCGGTTATTCTTGAATGCTTCCCTGAAACCGTTTTTTTGGCTTATCTGTTTGTTTGGGTCCCTAGAGTTTATTATTCCTTGAGGCTGTGTATCATAAATTCTGAATGGAGGTGAGATTTGTACTTTTTTTTGTGGCGGGGGGAGCTGGAAGGTAAAGAGGAGAAGGGCTTATTTTGAAAGGGAAGACGTACATGTGGAAGGTATCTGTAAACAGATTCTTGGAAAGTCTCCCACTGTCTCTTGTGTACCTTTAGAAAGAAAGCAAAAGAAAGACAACAGAAATGCTCCTTATGGTTTATTTATTTAATAGGGAAACTGTTTAATTGCTGAATGAGAATGATTTAGAAGCTATGTGGAAAAAGTTCCATGGGAGGCATTAGATAGGTACAGTGAGATTTCCAGCAGATAGTGATAACTTTGGACAAAGTGCTAAATAGAAAGATGAAAGGCGGATACAGGAACTTCAGGGTCATAATACTAAGAACATGCAGCGGGGGGACAAACTGCCCCCCTCATCTCACAAGCTCCTGAGATGGTTACTGTGATACCATAGCTCAGTAATTTACGTTGGAACAGTAACTGAGACATCAAAAAAAGATTAAATTATGTTCAGTGACCTGGTTAAGATGAAAGAAGAACTTTATGGTTTATTTTAGGAGGATTTTTACAGAAATAGTTGATGTAAAACAAATTTTATTGCTTAAAGGTGTAAGTTTTAAAAGCACTCAAAGTTATCTCGAAAATCCCCTTAGGATGCCTCTTCGTATGAGACAGCACTTTAATTCTCAGATGACAAATTAAGGGTATACTTTATTTTTGATAAAATGATTTTTCTCTTGATTTCAGCATTATTCCTTATGTCTGTTATGTAAAACACTATGTTGAAAAATCTGGGTTAATTTGGCTTATTCTAGCTTAGTGTTTCTCCAGTGTCATTCTCCAACCAGTATCAGCATCGCCTGGGAACTTTTTAGAAATGCAAATTCTTGGGCCCCTTTCAGACGATTGAATTTGAAACTCTGTGAGTACAGCTCAACAGTCTTTTCTTTTCTTTTTTTTTTTTTTTTGACACGGAGTCTCGCTCTGTTGCCCAGGCCGGAGTTGCAGTGGTGCGATCTTGGCTCACTGCAAGCTCCGCCTCCTGGGTTCATGCCATTCTCCTGCCTCAGCCTCCCGAGGAGCTGGGACTACAGGCACCTGCCACCATGTGTGGCTAATTTTTTTGTATTTTGTTAGTAGAGACTGGGTTTCACTGTGTTAGCCAGGATGGTCTTGATCTCCTGACCTCGTGATCCACCTTCTTCGGCCTCCCAAATGAGCAACAGTCTTTTTTTTTAAAAAACCCTTCAAGTGCTTGTGATACATGCTGAAGTTTGAGAACCACTGGCCTAACTTCTGTCTGAATTACTTCTGACAGTTATTTTTGAATTGAGAAACTCTGGAGTCCATAGACATTAAATGAAATAGGGTTGGGTCAAGAATATGGATCTATTTCCAGTTTTAAATAAAGTATTTAAATTATATGACAGTATCTCTACTAAATACAGGTGTAAAAATTTTTAAAAAGATGTGAACAAATTTAATCTGTTCAAATATAAGATATGAATATATATGTCCATAGATCTGATAATACATTGCGATGGAGTAAAGTTTAGGAATGTATGAGTGGTTAATATCTGAAAATTAATTAGTGTAATTTATATTAACAGAATCAAGAAAAATCATGACCTTAGTGGTTGTAGAAAAAGTTGCTGGTAAAGTTTTTTTTGGGGTTTTCTTTTTTGAGTTGGAGTCTCACTCTGTCGCCCAGGCTGGAGTGCAGTGGCGCTACCTTGGCTCACCACAACCTCTGCCTCCCAGGTTCAAGCGATTCTCCTGCCTCAGCCTCCCAAGTAACTGGGATTACAGGCATGTGCCACCACACCTGGCTAATTTTTTGTATTTTCAGTACAGATGGGGTTTCACTGTGTTGGCCAGGATGGTCTTGATCTCCTGACCTCATGATCTGCCCGCCTCGGCCTCCCAAAGTGCTGGGATTACAGGCGTGAGCCACTGTGTCTGGCCTCTGGTAAAATTTAATACCAATTTGTGATAAAAACTTGTAGCAAATTAGTAGAGGCAAAGTTCCTCAATGCAATAGAGCAGCCTCTCTCAATCTTCTTACTCTGGAGGAACCCTTAAGATAATTTTCAGGTCTCAGAGAACCCAGGCAAAGAATTGCTATACCTCCAGTTCACATATATTAAGCTAATCAGTAAGTTGTGGATATGATAAGTTAATAATAATTGTCAGTGCTCTTTTGACAGGAGAATATTTTTGTCTTTGCATTTATTTTGCCCAACTTATTAGCCCGCTGTTTGTGTGTGTGGTTGCTCCCTACTCCCCAGAAAGGATCTCCACTCTTATGCAAGTCAGTACTTTAGGCAGAGGAAACCTCAGTTTTTTTCTTTTTTAAAATTTTCTGCTTGATTTCTTTTTTCACCTGATCAAAGTAGGCAACTTATTTGTTCTCAGTTGGGCAGAAGCTTGAAATAAGACAGGAACCTTTACCCAGGTTCACATTTGTGTTGAAAGAGGGGGAAAGTATTGTTTAATTTTGTGTTTTAGTTCTTCCAGGTGGTTTTCGAGAATGCTTCAGAGTTGCTGGTATCCTTCCTCACTTTCAAGCCCAAACAGCATTACAAGGTTTCCTTTGCCACATGGTTTTTCCAGAGATTCAGTTTTCCTTTGAAATCCAAATGTCTTGTCACTTGAAGTCAAAACATTTTTTTAAAATTTGTTCAACTGGTTCATATTATTTTTAAAAGTCTGCTAAGAGGCTAGCTCCTGCAGTCACTCTTCATCTTCAGAGCACTCAGTAAAGGATGGCCTACAATTTTCATGAAAGTACTTCTGTAATTCGACTTTCAGCTTCAGCGTTCTGTTGAGAATACCTCCTATGCTGAGCCACTGGATTTCTGTATGTAGCAGGAGATTTAGGTGCTCAAGTATACTGGTCTGTGTTTAATAAAGCAAATCATTTTTAAACATCATTCAAGATTTTTTTTTAATAGTGATGGGGTCTTACTATGTTGCCAGGCTGGTCTTAAACTCCTGGCCTCAAGCAGTCCTCCTGTGTTGGTCTCCCAAAGTGCTGGGATTATAGGTGTGCGCCACTGCACCTGGCCCATTCAAGACATCTTAAATTTCATTTCCAAGGATTTTTGATGCTGGTACTGCTCTGAAAAAAGCAATGTCATGATTTTTTTTTTTTTTTTTTAAAACAAGAGAGGTAAAACCTTGCTGTGAGCCAGCCATTAATGGGGAACATCACTGTAGATGCCAACGCAGTTTCTCTAAGATGGACTTCTTGTTTCTAGATATGAAGACACCACATTGAATATGTCATGCCCTTTGTTTATGGTAGTTTTTTTGCAGCACAAAAATTATTCTTGAAATTCAGCATTGTTTAAAAAAATTTACAAGACATATATCGTGAAATCTGTTGGTTTGTCAGCCCGGATAAACAAGCTGTTTCTCAGTTTATTAAACAAACCTCTTAGCATCATGTGACATGTCATCAATTTGTCAACTTACCATACTGTTTGAGAGTGGAACCTTTTCAGTTTCTCATGCTGTGCATTTTACTAACTGTCATTTAACATGCTGACATGATTAGGTTCCCATCAGTGGTGTGATTCTACCCCCTATACCCCCTTTTTGGACAATAAATTCTGCTACTAATAACATGCTTTATGAGCCTTTTCACTGAATGTGATTTAAAAACAAAAACAAAAAAATGAAGAGCTTTACTCTGAGATTCCAATAAGTACCTGACTTGTCCAGTAGCTATGACTTCTGTTTCAGTGATTTTTCAGTTTTGCTGGAGTCATAAATTGTTTGCCACAGATGCTGCACATTGGAATAGGACACTTTGGATTACTAACCTAGTGAAGTTCATTGATTAGTAGTTTTCACTGAAGTGTGGTGGACTGTTCTCTATTTCTTGCTGTGCTGGTGCAGTAAAATGGCCCAGAAGATTATTGTTCTTTATTACTTGCCTTATTAGAATTGTTCCTGGGCCTAGGTTTGGAATTTTCTTCTCTCATAAATTGTATCTTCAGAAATCATCACACTGGACTGTCAGACATGTGTATAAGACATAGATGCTAATATGTTATAAAACTAAAGGGAATAGTAACTGAGAAAGTTGAGAAAAATATGAAAACTTCACAATATATTTTACTTTTTTTTTCTTTTTTGAGACAGAGTCTCACTCTGTCATCAGGAATGGAGTGCAGTGGCGTGATCGCGGCTCACTGCAACCTCCGCCTCTCGGGTTCAAGCGATTCTCCTGCTTGAGCCTCCCGAGTAGCTGGGACTACAGGTGTGTGCCACCACGCACGGCTAAATTTTGTATTTTTAGTAGAGACAGGGTTTCATCATGTTGGCCAGGATGGTCTCGATCTCTTGACCTTGTGATCTGCCCACCTTGGCCTCTCAAAGTGGTGGGATTACAGGCGTGAGCCACCACGCCCGGCTACATTTTACTTTTATTGCTACATAATCCATGTTTTGCAACATTTCAGTGTGGTAAGAGGCAGTTGAATCTTGGTGTGTAAACATTCCTTGTTTAGAATGAATGTTTTCCTTAGATTTTCTGTTATACCAGTAGAGCTTGTTTGGTCCTGTAAGTCAGTGGCACTGTGTGAAGGAAGGTTGGAGGATGTAATTTGGGAAGGGAGCTGCTGACATTGTCAGCCTACTGTGCTTTTGTTTGTGCCATATAGAGCTTACCAATTATCAGTGGCCTAACTGCCCCTGTTGCATCAAAAACGGATAGTGGCAGGCTGGGCACGGTGACTCACGCCTGTAATCCCAGCACTTTGGGAGGCCGAGGCGGGTGGATGACTTGAGGTCAGGAGTTTGAGACCAGTCTGGCCAACATGGCGAAACCCCGTCTATACTAAAAATACAAAAATTACCTGGGTGTGGTGGTGCATGCCTGTAGTCCCAGCTACTTGGGAGGCTGAGGCACAGGAATCGTTTGAACCCTAAAGGTGGAGGTTGCAGTGAGCCGAGATCGTGCCACTGTACTCCTACCTGGACAACAGAGTGAGACCCTGTCCCTTAAGAAACAAACAAACAAAAACAGATAGTGCCCTCAGCAAAGTGAACATAGCCCTCGTTGCACACTACCATATGGTGCTAAAAGATTCCTTATGAAACCATTAGTTTGGCTGTTCAGTAGTTGCCTGTTACTGTGAGCACTAGCATCACATGGTGTAAGAAGTTAAAAAAACGTTTATTTTTTAAAATCACGATTTCTTGTGAAACCCTAGGGTTTTGTGGAATGCTGGTTGAGAAACCCAGTGGTAAGAGGGTAACTACAAAAACCTAGATTTAACATCATACTTAACGATGAAATAGCAAATGTGTTTTCTTTAGGTCAAAAAAGACGAGGATACCAATTGTCAGAACTTTTGTTCTGTATTGTACTGGAAGTTTAAGGAAGTAGTAACATAAAAATTGGAAAGGAAGAAGTAAAACCATAGATGACGTGATTAAGTATGTAGAAAAGCTAGAAGAATCTGGGAACTATTGGAATTAATAGGTAGATTCAATAAGGTTACCAAATAAAGATCAATCTACAAAAATCAATTTCTACAAATTTACAATAAAAAAATAAGAAAGTGAAATAAAATACGAAAGGCAGCACACCAAAACTCATCCACTAATTAGGAAGAAATTTAACAAGTATGTTTTCTTTGCTGAAAACGAAATCAAGTCTTTAGTTGTAGGGCATTATTTGTGCACTCTCTATAAGCACTGTTTCATTTTTCTTTTTAATTCCTGATCTGTGAGGAAGGGATTTGCAGTTTCTCTTGATCTTTTGTTGCTCATCACTCATTTTGATCCAGTAGCTTCCCCTTGGCAACTTGATAGCTGCATTTTTGGCTTTTCTGTTTACAAAGCTCAGTGAAGATGGTTAGGCTTTCATACATTGATTATTACTTCTGTCATTGATTTTGTTCTGATTCCAATAATTCCATTTATTTTTAATTTAAAAACAGTAATACAAGGCTAGTAATTTTTTTTATTTTTCTTGAGCGGTAGTCTTCTTTGCTTATATTTTCAGGTTAGGTTGGCCTTTTGGTACTTTTGTGTTTGATTGTAATGGGGGAAAAAAGCTTTTAATGTAAAGGAAACAAAGGAACATAGATCAAATTTAGATCTATGATAATAGAGAATATGGAATAATATTTTGAAAGGCTCATACTGGCTGCCCTTAGACAAGTAAAACTACACTAACCTCCATTATTCCTTCTAGTTTAGGCTATGTGCTTCCAGCTCCATATATCCAAAAGTCTACTGCACTGCTCTCCTCCGTCTTTTCTTAGCTACCTCTTTTTTTTTTTTTTTGAGACGTAATATCACTCTTTCCCAGGCTGGTGTGCAGTAGTGCAATCTCGGCTCACTGGAACCTCTGCCTGCGGAGCTCAAGTGATTCTCCTGCCTCAGCCTCTTGAGTAGCTGGGTTTACAGGTGTGTGCCACCACGCCTGGCTAATTTTTATGTTCTTAGTGGAGTTGAGGTTTCATCATGTTGGCCAGGCTGGTCTTGAACTACTGATCTCAAGTGATCCACCCGCCTCAGCCTCCCCAAGTGCTGGGATTATAGATGTGAGCCACTGTGCCCAGCTTGGCTAACTCTATTAAAATTTTCTTAGCTTACTCTTTGTACATATACTAGTGTATTACCATACCAATACATTGTATATGTTATAAGCTTACACAGAAATAAGAAATGAAAAAGAGATAAAAAGTAAAATATACTATTTTAAAATAATTTTTTAAAACAGTATAAGAAGCTCTTTTCCTGACTGAAAGCAGTATGATTGAATGAGTGCTGTGTCAAGCATCTTCATTTAGCCTTTTCTTACAAAGCGATGAAGGTCTCATTTTAAGTTTAATTTATTTGGAACCTTGGTTTTAATTGATGTCTTAGCAATAAAGACCCTTACAAAGATTTATAGATCTCAAAGGAATGAATGTGTGTATGTATATGTTTGTGAATATATGTTATATGTGTGCGTGTATATATATATAAAAGTTTCCTATTGCTGCTGTAAATTACCACAAATTTAGTGGCTTAAAACAACACAAATTGGTTCTCTTCCAGTTTTGGAAGTCAGAGGTCCAAAAGGCAGACTCACTGGGCTAAAGTCAGAGTATAGGCAGGTTTGGTTCCTTCTGGAGGCTTCAAGGGGAGCATCCCTTCCCTCTGTCAGTTTCTAGAGGCCACCTGCATTCCCTGACTCATAGTCCTTCCTCCAACCTCTCCTGTTGTCACATCTCTTGCTATTCACTTGGACTCTCGTGCCTCCCTCTTTCCCTTTTAAGGGACACCTGGAAATCTGCAATAATGTCTCCTATTTAAGGATCCTTGGTTTAATCATGCCAGTGAAGTCCCTTTTGTCATGCAAGGTAACACAGCCACAGGTTGATTTGGATGTGTATGTTTTTGGAGGGAGGGTATGCATTATTCATTTGGGGGTTATAAATCATTGTTAGAAAATTATGACACTGATTTTTGTAATCCCGACAATTTGGCTAGTAAACTCCCATTTAAAAAAAATATGTCGGTGGCTCAAGCCTGTAATCCCAGCACTTTGGGAGGCCGAGACGGGCGGATCACGAGGTCAGGAGATCGAGACCATCCTGGCTAACACGGTGAAACCCCGTCTCTACTAAAAAACACAAAAGCTAGCCGGGTGAGGTGGTGGGCGCCTGTAGTCCCAGCTAATCGGGAGGCTGAGGCAGGAGAATGGCGTAAACCCGGGAGGCAGAGCTTGCAGTGAGCTGAGATCCGGCCATTGCAGTCCAGCCCGGGCGACAGAGCAAGACTCTGTCTCAAAAAAAAAAAAAAAAAGTCAGTTTGGCCGGGCGCAGCAGCTCATGCCTGTAATCTCAGCACTATAGGAGGCTGAGGTGGGCAGATCACGAGGTCAGGAGTTTGAGACCAGCCTTACCAACATGGTGAAACCCCGTCT